CTGTTTCTAGGAGCAACAGCCTGGTGGCTCTGGGCTGGCTACAGGATGCTGCCTTGCCTCCAGCTCTGATCCATGGAGAGGGGATTAGCTGGGGTGTCCCATCACCTGGGAAGCCGGTGTGGAGCCAGGGGAGCACACATCCCAGTGTGAGGAGGATGCTTGCTGCCGTGGGGAGGAGCACGTTCCCGCTGTGGATCAGAGATGCTGCAGCAAAGCTTTTGAAGGGCTGGGGAGAGGGGGCTATGGCTGGGGAGTGGAGACTTAGGGGCCAGGCCAGGGATGCTCATGCCCAGGCTGAGTCCCTGAGCTGAGGTGGGAGGTGGTTGTTCCTGGGTCCCACTGAGCTCTGCATCCTCTGGCTCTGCCACGCAGGTGACCCAGACACTGAACTGGCTGGTGCGGACGTCTTCAGAGCTGGAGACGAACATTGTGGCTGTGGAGCGGGTGCATGAGTACACGAAGGTGAAGAACGAGGTGAGGAGACCAGGGTCCAGGCAAATACCTGCTGCACAGCTTGGTGCTAGCCAGTATCGCAGGGCACAACCCCCCTAACGTTCCTGTGCCCCCAGGCTCCGTGGGTGACAGAAAAGCGTCCACCCCGTGGCTGGCCCAGCAAAGGCAAGATCCAGTTCATTGACTACAAAGCTCGTTACCGACCTGAACTGGAGCTGGTTCTTCGGGGGATCACCTGCAATATTGGGAGCACCGAGAAAGTGAGGACCTCTGCGTCTGCTCTCACTACACCCTTTCCGTAGTGACATGGTGTTTAAGTTGTTTCTGTCCTCTTAGCTTCGGTCTGTGGGCTGGGGAGGGATGGAAATGGGACGTGGCTACTGGGGACTTGAGCTGCGGGGCAGGGACCAAAGGAGGCAGTCTGGGAGGTGGTGATTGCAGATGCAGGGCAGGAAGGCCCACCAGACCAAGACAGAGAGCACCTACCCTGTTTTCTTCAATCCTGTCAGCTGGTCTAAATAGCTGCTTCCACAGGTTGGGGTTGTGGGCCGGACCGGGGCTGGAAAATCCTCCCTCACCAACTGCCTCTTCCGGGTGCTGGAGGCTGCTGGAGGGACGATCATCATTGACGAGGTGGATATAGCGACGATCGGTCTCCATGACCTGCGCCAGAACCTCACCATCATCCCCCAGGTGAGCTGGCCCCTTCATGAGTCCCCCACCTTCATGTGTCCCACTGCTGCGCATCCTCCCCAGGCTCTGTTCCCTGGGCAACGCATTGCCCTTAGCGCATCCCTGGGTGCTGTGCAGAGTCCAAGGACCTGCCAGCATGCCCTCATCACCTCCCCTGCCCAGCTGCAGACAGCAGGGCGGGCAGGCTGTAGCCAAAGTCAGGAGCCTGGAGCAGCTACGGCAGGTACATTCAGCCCTGCTGAATGGCCGTGGCGTGGCTGAACGCGGTGCTGTCCCTGGCAGGACCCTGTGCTCTTTACCGGCACCCTGCGGATGAACCTGGACCCCTTTAACCAGTACACAGACAAGGAGGTCTGGAAGGCCCTCGAGCTGGCCCACCTGAAAACATATGTGCAAGACCTTCCCGAGGGGCTGCTGCATCTTGTGAGCGAGGGAGGGGAGAACCTGAGGTGAGTGGAGCATGCCCAGCTCCCTCCCTTCCCCCTGGTCCCAGGGGAACAGCAGCCTCCAGCAGAGTGGCTGTCCAGGGATGAGGGCACATAAGCTTCTGGGATTGAAGGTAGGAGAAAACAGTGCGGGAGTCAGGGCTGTCAGAGAGCCAGCGTGAGCCAAGCCTTCTATGGTGGCCCGGAGAGCAAGATGCTGAGGGACATGGTGCTCAGGGTGGCAGATGATCAGCTGGGGCAAGGCCAGGGAGGGCTGGACAGGCAGGTGTTGGGGTCAGGGCAGTGTGTGGCAGTAGGCTTGCAGAAGCCATGCTGGTGTCTGTCTAGTAACTCATGGTCCCCACCTCATCCCAGTGTTGGGCAGCGGCAGCTTATGTGCCTGGCCCGGGCCCTTCTCCGCAAAGCCAAGATCCTCATCCTTGATGAAGCAACAGCAGCTGTAGATCTGGAAACTGATCATTTAATCCAGACAACGATCCGGAGTGAGTTTGCTGCCTGCACTGTTCTTACCATCGCCCACCGCCTCCACACCATCATGGACAGCAACAGGTACCGTGGGGCAAGGGGAACAGGGCTCTGGACTCTGAGGATGGGGCAAGAGGTGGCCAGCAGCAGAAGCAAGGATGCAGCCAGAGGGGCAGGGGTGGATGAAGTGCCCGGGACAGCAATATACAGAGCTTCTAGGAGAGTAGAAGAGAGGGATGGGAAGGGTGGCCATGCAGTAGTTATGCTTTGTGGGGAAAAACATTTTTGGGGATCCTTCTTTACAGCAACAGGCCACAGGAGTTGTTAACACCGTATGTGTGTCACCCTGCCAGCACAGGGAGGAGAGCTGTGCCCTCACCTCTGTGCTGAGAGGTGAACCACATAACGTGGCTGTAGGAGGAGTGAGGGTCGGTGGGGCTGTAGTGCTGGCACCAGCAGCGCTGTCGGCTCAGATCCCGGAGGCTCAGGCCTTGTCGTTCCCTGCTGCCAGGGTGATGGTGCTGCAGGCTGGGAGGATTGTGGAATACGACAGCCCTGAGAAGCTGCTCAAGAAGCAGGGCGTCTTCTCTGCGATGGCAAAGGACGCCGGCATCACAAATATAGAAACCACCATGCTGTAGGTGGAGCGGAGCAGCATGTGGGTGTGTGCGTGGGCAGCTCCCTCCCGCTGGCACTCATCAAGCAGGCTCCGGCATCTCCCTGCAGCCGGGCTGCCCAGGAATTTGTCTCTCTGCAGCTGGGAAGCGGAGAGGGTGGCTTCTCTGGCTGTCAGGGAGAGAGGATCTGGACTTGAGTGAGCTGTTAACCTTGCTACCATACCCTGCCTGCTGTGCACACGAGGGTCTGGAGCTGCATAATTTATTCCAGTATAAAGGGGAAAATTTATCTGTCAGGCAGGGAGACCATGGCCCCCTGGGGGTCTTAATTTTTGTACTTCACCATGCCAGGGAAACCTAGCTGAGAGATACTGTAGCACTATGGAATGAAGTGTAGCTTAATCTAAGAATGAATGTTATAATTTATTTACTTTTTGTAACTGTTTCTAGTCTTCCAACTAAAAGTTTGTCTTTAAGGCATGCTAAATAAGTCTCAGTTTACCTTTAAACCTAGCTAGGTTTGGGGGGAGCCGGTAACACAATTTATGCAGGCACACATGGGCGGGGAGTCCAAATTGAGTGGCACAGCTACACCCAGGCACGAACACTATTCTCTGGCAGTGGAGGTGGAGAAGCCAGGGCCTGCCTGCCTTCCCTATGGCTAGAGCTCCCTTTGGTTGTAGCGCAAACAAATGAGGCAGTCCCTGGGGCTATTGTAACCACTAGTGGGGCAGATTAAGGCTGTGGCTCCAGACTACAAACCTGACTGTGGTGGAGACAAGCTGGAGAGGTGTAGGCACGTGTGCATCCTACACTGACGTGCACACATGTAACACACACAAAACATGGTGGTTACTGGTGACAAACTCTTGACCCTTCTTTGTTCTTGGGCATGAAAGCCAGGAGCTGGAGCACTGACATGTGCACGCTGCAGCTGCCTACCCACTTACAGCAGAGCAAACCCCTTGACGCCAGCTGGTGGCAGGAGGCACACAAGCCACCCACGGCCCCAGCTGAGTAACACACATTGGGGGGGGAGAGGGCAGTGCAATCACTTCATCTTAATGAAGAACTTCCCTGTGAGGGTTTCCTAGTGCCTGAGCTGCAGCTGGCACAAACACCAGGGCAGAAGCATGCCAGACCCCACCAAAAGGTAAATGTTCTTCCTGACCCTGCATGAAATCTGTGGGCTTTGCTCCCCAGCCCAGCACTGGCCAGGCACAACTCCCAGCTCTCCGGACATTTGCATAGGCACCCCTATACACAAGGGCAAATCTTTATTTACAGAGCAGCAGTACAGGGGATACAAACATCACCCCAAGAGAAGGGAGCTTCCCTCCTTCAGGGGATGGCAGCAGGGGGTAAGACACACTACCTCGGCAAAGGGCATCACATCCCTCCCAGGGAGGACCTTGCCCTCCCAGAACGTCAGCACCATCTCCAGTGCCCTACAGGAAAGTGCAGGTGAGGCAATCCTGGTCAGAGCCCCCAAAAGATATCACGCTGGAGGACAGCCTGTGCTTTGCCTTCTGCCCTGCCCCAGCCCCGAGCTGCCAGGTGGGCATCTCAGCGCAAAGATGGGTCTTGGGCACCGGAGATACTGTGCTGATAAGGAAAGACGGCGTTCTGGGCCTTCGGCTCACCTAGAAGATGTGAACCCGATGGCTGCTGCTAGCAGCAGAGCTTGGAGAGGCCCGAGCCCCTGGGAGACCAAGCACGGGGATGAAGCACCCACTGGGGGCTCTGCTGTGGGGGCTTTTGGAGGCCAGGCCCATCCCAGCCCTGGAGTTCAACTACTCCCAGCGAACCTCAGAGCTGCTTCCCCAGGCAGTGTGTAGATGTCCCACTCTGAGGTCCTGCACAGACAGGCGAGACTAGGCTCCTGCTGCCGAGAAGGCACAGAGAGAATGTTCACAGGGCCTGGGTTGCTTTTAACACCACTTGGCTAAAGACGGACTCCAGAAACTCAGTGTTAGCCATCCACAATTTAAACCCACAGCAGCTCCTCAGCCTTGTTCAAGCCTTACCCTCTTGGGCCATGGCCCCAAGCTTTGCTCCCCTGCTCCTGGCTGGACACAGGAGGCTCAAACAGCACAGGTGAACTCGCCCCTGCCCTCACACAAGCTGCCTGTTCCTGCCTGTCCTGCCAGCCCACCCGTCCTCCTCCCAGTGGCAGCCAACGTGGTGGGGCCCAGGAGCGCTGCACAGCTGTGAGGAAAGTAGCCTCAGCATGAGCAGTGGGGGCTGCAGGGCTGGCCAGCCTTCCCAAGGCCCCTGGCAGTCCCTGCAGGAACAAGGCACGGGGTGCAGGCTCCTGCCTGCTGCCTCACGTGTACTCTGTCTTCCGAATGTAACTGGAGGGCACGTAGCCCTGCTTCCCATGCGCCTCGGCCAGCCACCACTCCCGATTGCCCGTGATGTCCTCAAACTGCAGGATCCTGAGTCTCTGGTTAGCTGACACGCTCAGCTCATTGGTGTTTCGGCCTTTGAAGGTGTAGAGAGCGTAATAGACCTGCCAGACAGAGGGAGAGTGTCAGTTCGACAGTCATGCCACACAGCCTTGCTGTCACATTGCATAGGATGTAGAGCTTTTGCTCCTCTCCCCAAACAGTGATGGCCCCAGCCCCATCCTGGCCTCTGCCAGAGCTGCCCCCACCTGCCCACCCTCATTTGCAGCCTAGTTCTCTGCCTCTGCAGCTCTGCTGCTGGGAGATAAGGTCTCATCCTCCACCTCAGCCCTTTGGGACAAAACAGCCTCCACCTCCCACCTCTCCCTGGTCACTGCCAGGGAGGAGGATGATTCAGCCCCCACTCAAGCGAGGGGGTCAGCCCTCCGCATCCCCAGCCCCCCCAGGGAGGCTGAGGGCTCACCTGGTTGCCCTCTGACTCGCTGCTCTCCAACCCAGAGTCTCTGTCCTCTACCGAGGGTGCAGGCCTGAGATGCGCCTTGGTGGGGTGCCCGTTGCGAGAGCTGGGGCTGCAGCCCAGCTCGGGGCGGCTGTATTTTTTTCACTGTCCCAGCCTCCAGCGGGGCTGTCCTGTCACCAGAGCCAAGCTGGGGCAGAGAGGGGGGGTCCATCTCCGAGGGGGGCTGCGGGGACTGGTACAGGTCTGCTGGGGAGGCTGAGTCCTGCAGGGGTTTCTGAGTGAAGGTGACGGCTGCCCCGCTGGGGCTGAAGGTCAGCGTGGTGTTGCTTTGGGGAGAAGAGCTGCTGTGCTCTGACTCGTTGGAAGAGTGGCTGCCCACAGAGACATCTGACTGGCTGCGGCGCGGGTTGTAGGGCTTCAGAAAGGAGCTGTACACAAAGCCCTTGGTCACTGCAGAAAGAGAGAGGAAGGGAGCTCAGACTGGGGTGCAGGGGGACCACAGGAGGGGACTCACAGCAGGCGCCAAGGGCAGGGAGCAGCCACCTACCCCCGTTGTCTATAAGCCAGCGATTCTGGCTGCCCATGGGGTCCTTCTTCTTGATGACACCCACAATGTCTCCTTCCAGCAGTGAGACATCCAGGTCTTGGGCAGCATTGAAATTGCGGTCTGCCTGGAAGAGACCGTCTGGGGGATAGCGGGCCAGGAGGGCAGCTCGGATGTCATCCGACTGCAGGAGGTAGCTAGGCTGCAGAGGAACAAGGCAGGCGTGAGTGGTTGTCCTGGGCTCTGCAAGCCCTGACTCGGGGCAGAGGGAACTCACCAAGCCGACGAGGGGCTGCCGCCGGGCAGACTGCCGCTCCATGCTCTTCCTTTCAAAAGGCTTCTTGGGAGCTGCCTGGGACTCTGGGAAGAAGGTGAAGGCCTGAAGCTGCTGGAGGACTCGACTGTGCTCATCCTGGAAGATGGCAATGAGGTTCCCCTCCCTGCTGGACACCTTCAGTAGCTGGAACCAGAGCAGGGTTGGGGGTCATGGTTAGGTGACAGAAGCTGGGAAAAGTGGCCAAGAGCTACAGCAGAGACCACGCCAGCTCCTGGGCCAGGCGGGGCTCTGAGTCCTGCCTGTGGCTTGCATCAGGCCCAGATCTGCAGTCCTGTCTGGACCCAGCTCTGAGTGGTCCCTGAACTCATGACCTGAGATTCTCCCAGGCAAATGCTCTCCTGCCACTGCTCCAGGAGCAGGCAGAGCCTTCACCATCTCTACGCACAATTGCATCGTGACTCTGCAATCCCTGCCCTGACAGCATCTCACAGGAGCCCTCCCCAAGGCATTCAGGGCCTGAAACTGCAGCAGCAGCTTCCCTTGCAATCGGACCGAAGAGGCTCGGGGACAAGCCCTGTGCAGAGATTAGCGCTGCACCAAGCCCAGAGCGCTGGCTGTGCTCTGGGAACCCACCGACAACAGGGGTCTCAGCTCCTCCAGGGCCAGGCACACAAAGTTGCAGTGCGCCTCAGCATAGCCCCGCACGCAGCTGGCAAACAGCTCCTTGGCGAAGTGCAGGAACTTGGGCAGCTCATCCAGCAGCTGGGCATTGAGGGCCTCGTAGTTGTTGCGGGCCGACTGCAGCTCCTCCAGCGTTCGCTTGTCCTTTAGCTTCTCCGCTCGCTCCGTGCAGTTGTGGAAGTCGAGGAGCTTGTCGAAACGTTTCTGCACCAGCTTGTGGGGCCCCGCAAACATGCTCAGCAGCTGGTTCAGGGGCGAGCTCACCAGCCGCTCTGTCCGCTCTTTCTGGTGGGCAGAGATGCAGAGAGCAGGTGAGACGAGGTGCTCTCTCCCACCGTGCAATGAACACCAGCAGCTCACCCTCCAGCAACAACCTCCCCAGGACAGCACAGGGTCCGTCTTCCTGATGGCACCCACCAGAGCTCCAGAGGTCCCTTCCAACAGGAGTTATTCTATAATCTTACATAAGTGTGCCAGCATGGGCAACGCTATGGGAAGTACCTGAACCACTCACATAGAGAGCTGTAACATTTCAGGTAGGGCTGAAAAAATGTATATCTAATAGGCACGCTCAATACACACCATAAACAGGCATCAAAGCTCGCAGGAGGGAAGAGCTGAACAGGAGTGCTCATGCCTCTCCCAGGCTGTGTTACCCTCCCTGCAGCCTCCTAGGAGCTGCCCATCTGCAGCAGGCCCCCAGCATGCGAGAGCACAGCCTCACTCACAAAGTTAGAGAAGAGCTGGTCGCTGATGAGCCGATTCACTTTCTGGAACTGGTCCAAGTCCCCACTGCCCTTCTCCGTGCACAGGTCCCACATGCTCACTGCTGCCAGCGCCTTCATGCAAGCCGACTCCTGCACCAGGTACACACAGTCAGCCCAGGCATGCCTGCTGCCCAGGAGAAGAGGCCTCCCAGGGCAGCCCAGACCCTCAGAGACCACCCCCCCGGCAGGGCTGAGGGCAGGAGCACTGTCCAGAGGCACTGCAGGTACACACCGTGCAGGCAGGAGGGGCAGCGAATGGCAAGCCCCACGGGTTAGGCATCACACCCAGACTGACTCACCCGAACGTGCTGCAGGTAGAGGGAAAGGTCCCGGATGAAGGACTTGATCAGCCGCTCCTGCATCCGGAAATTTTTCTCTGTCTCTTCAAAGGCTTCATCCTTCAGCTGTGAGAGAAAATGTCTCAAGGAAGGCAATGCAGGACTCCAGCACCTCCCAGAGCATGAGATGTGGGGCCTCCTGCCCACAAGCTGGACAGCAGAGATGGGTGGTTCAGACCCTAAGCTCACTCTGCCTTGCTGGCCTGGATCAGAGCTACTCATCAGGGAATGGGTGTGGGGGGACAGCAGATACCTCCGCAGAAGCACTGCAGGGTGTAAGTGCACCTGGCAGCTGATGCACATTACCTGGGGCGCAAAGCCTGTGAGATGCTTGAGGTGGCTGCTCACACGGTTAGATTTCTTGATGATAGAGTGGAAGTTGAGCTTGGAGATCTTCTCCATGAGGCTATCCTCATCCCCTTTCCGGTACTTTAGCACTAAAGAGATTGATGTAGAAATCACAGCCCTTGTCAGCACAACGCCCATGTCTTACAGTGCCTCATCAACAATTGCCTTGCTGGCTCTCCCCTTCCCTAAGCCTCTGCAGTCCCAAGTACCCCACATATCATATCATATATCATATCATATCATACCACACCATATATCATCTTGAAATCCATCACTGTGCCACCTGTAATCCCCTATTTGGCTCTCGATATGCTATACAGTTTGTAGACCCACCATTCAAACTCTTCCGTAGGATTATGCATAGTGTTAGCATAAGATGACATAGGAGATGGTGTACAATAATCACTGGACATACAGAAGCATTTATATTGCTTCTTTAGCAAATATGAGCAATCATTACAGGCAGCCTATGTCATCTCAGCTTCGGTGGGGCTATGCAGAAAGGGTAAAGTGTAAGGCTTGCATGAGTCAGGGGCTGCCAAGGAAAAACAGGGAGGGTGGCCGGCAGGTCAAAGGGAATAATTTTCTCCCTCTGTTCAGTCCCGGGGAGGCTGTGCTTGGATACCATGTCCAGTTTTGGTACCCCCGGGTCAAGAGAGATGTGGAAGAACCGGAGCTCCTGACCCACAGGGAGAGTTCAGGCCCCACAAGGAGAGCCGGGCAGGCTCAGCCTGGCTGGGAGGCGGCGGCGGAGGGGGATCTGCTCACACCCGGCAGCTACTTGAAGGGCAGCTACAAAGGTGATGGAGCCAAACTCCTCTCAGCAGTGCCAGGCAATAGAAGGAGGGGCAGTGGCCACAGATGGCAGCTTGGGAGCTTCAGGGTGGATCAGGGAGCACAGCTTCACCTCAGAGGTGGTGCAGCCCTGGCACAGGACAGCAGAGAGGCTGTGAAATTTCCTTCCTTGGGGGTCAGTGAGATTCGGCTGGAGGGAGCAGTGGCTGATCAGAGCCAACGTTGGGGACAATCCTGCTCCAAGCAGGAGGTTGGACAGGAGACTCCAGAGGGCCCTTTGCAGCCAGCACCTCTGTGATTCTGTCCTGTATACAGATACACCTTCAAACTTAGTCTCTGAATCTCAGTAAGACAGAGACTGCCCTAGCAGATTAATTCCCTGCTTGTGTTGTTTACAATTGCATTTTTTAACTTTAAATATATATTCTTTTGTTTTATCATTATTTTTGTTTTCATTTAATAGCCATGTGGTCAGCAACTGCATACATTTCATATCTCTGTATCATAAAAAAACCAGCTAAAGTCAGATTTATACTGCATTACTTTAAGTATTGTATCTCATGCTCAGATTTTTTAAATGCAGCTCTTCTACTGCTCTTCTGTGAGGGCACGGACTTTGGGAGCAGATTCCCTCCACGACTGTGGTTGCCAGCCTTAGCTCAGGAGCCGATAGATGCCAACCTCAACACACCCATTCCTGTCTCTCTCTCCCCAGCACTACCCAGCTACTCACCCAGGTCCTTCCGGCGCTTGTATTCGTTGATGTTGACATTGATTTCTTTGACTGCGAGGACAGCAGCTGTGAGCGGTGCCTTGTCAGGGTGAGCCTCGGGCGTAGCGCTCAGCAGCTCCATCAGCAGCAGTGGGTACCGCATCACCCTTTGCACTGGCTTGATGAGGAAGGAGCCCAGGTTAATGTAGTTTGTGCAGCCCCTGGGAAGTCAGGACAAAGGAGATGCACCAGGTTTCAGTCCAGCTCTGCCACGCAAATTTTGCCCCCTCAAACCAACCCCAACCAGACCCAGAATACCAACGCCTCTAAATCCACTGTATTCCCTAAGTCACATCACCCTCGTCTCCAAACTCACTGCACTCCTGAACCCCCAGTGATCTCAAATCAACCCCAGGTTTCCACACCTCACTCACACCAGGTGACCCTTCCCAGCCAGGATCCTCTCCATCACCAGACCTACCGCAAAATCCCACACAGCCTCAAACTTACCGGAGTGACACTTGCCTCAGACTCTGTCCCACCACTCAACTGCCCAGATCTGAGCCCCACTGCGGGACAGACTGACTGTGCTCAGGACCGCAGCCAGCGCAGGGCTCTCCTGGCTCCTTGGGGCTGATGGCTCCCAAAACCTGTTTCCTGCCCAAGACCTCCCCTTACCTCACCACCTGCCTGTACAGCCCATCCATTGCCTCTGTTGTGATCACACCACAGACACCCTGCTCCTCCCAGATGTGCCTCCATGAGGCACCGTTAGGGCCCCCCCACATGCACCCAGCCGGTGGCAGCAGGTTAGTCACAAGGGAGCAGCCAGGCCAGGACAGACAGACAAGCAGGGACTAACAGGAAGGATGCACTTACCACTCACTGTACAGGCTCCTGCCGGCCCACAGCGTGCCAAAAAGCAAAGAAAAGCAACGAGTTAATGGGGCGGCAGGCGTGCAATCCCGCAGCCAGCGCCTTCGCCCCCTCCTGCAGTGATGCTGCCAGGGCAGTGGGCAGCCCTGTCTCCCCAGAGCAGCAGCCGGCACTGCTGGCTCCCGGGGCTTTAATCTCCACAAGCTGGAGCCCTGGCAGTCACTGAGCCAGGCAAAGCAGCTCCTTCATCAGCCATGGTGGGGCAGGGCTTGGAGAATAGGAGCCCTCAATCCAGGACATGCCACTTTCTCTGTACCTTGGTGGCTTCTGCTCGGAGTTTAAGGGGGCCTACAGGTGTCCCAGCACTTGTGCATTGGGGCAGGGGGCCATTTGAACCCAGAGCTTGGTCAACTATGCAGTGACACAGCTGGCCCCTCTCCAGTCACCACCTGAACTGACCAAGCACTGCTGGCAGAAGGGCAGGGATGTTGGAGACTGACCCCCCTACCCCAGCCTGGTGGCCGCCACAGCCAGAGGCTCCAACCTGAGGCTATCCAGCAGGTCCAGGAATAGTTTCTGCATCTTCTCATCCTTCTCATAGGTTTCCAGCAGTGCGATGGCCTCGTCATGGTTCTGGCAATACACCCTGTAGACGCCCTCCAGCTGTGCACGCTGTGCCAGGAAGACTGGTCCTGCAGACAGCAGCAAAGCAGGACTTCAGTGTCTCCTGGTCTCCAGCTACCTTCAACAACCTGGGCATGTCTCATGATGAGATGCCCAGTGTCCCCCTTCCCCACACACAGCTCGAGAGGACAGTGTTACTAGAGCAACCAGGATGCCTCCTCATCACCCTCAGCATGCCCACACATTCTCCTTGCTTCCCTGTCGCTACAGGCCAGGGGGACAGAAATGGGAAGCTGTGTATCAAAGGTCTGCCAAGGCAAGGAGGCCCCAGGCTGAAGCCAAGAGCATGTCATGATAACTCACTAGGACATGTTCACTTGTGCTTTGAGGGGACTGTTTACCTAGCTGAAGAGCTCCCAGGGGGCCCCCAGGAGCCACTAGTCCAGAGACCTCAATCGATCCAGCTCTCCCAGAGGTGAGGAGCAGGGACACTGGTCAGTGGCAGCGTGGGTTGGGAGCCACATGGAGAGCAAAGGCACAGGCTGCCCAAGGCCTGATCAGCAAAAGCTGGGAGTGCAGGAGTGAGGGGTGGGGCTCCCTTTGGGGCCAGGGAGGGCCACAAGCACCGTGTTTCTCAGCATAGCGATCCACGGGGCAACACAGACCTCCTTGGCTTTGCTGCTGGACTGATGAGCAGCGACAGGGACCAGCGGAGAGGAAGCCCAACCCCAGTGACACTCTCCTGCTATTTAAACTACTCTATTCTGCCCCGCCACTAGCAAGGCCCATCCCAGCCTGCTGAGAAAAGGTAACAGCAAAATTCATACCGATGGCATCTGAAGCCTCCAAGGTGGACAGCAGCTGCTTGGAGAAGCTAATTACCACGTGGATGTTTCCAAAAAGACCCTCAAAGTCTATGTTCTGCATCTGCGGAATGGGAAGAGAGATGTCCTGGATGGGGGAACATCTCCCAGCCAGACCCAACAGCCCCCCCTTGCCCTCCTGCAACCCATCAGCCCTCAGCTCCACAGCAGCCACCTGGTGTGACTTCCTCCCATCACAGCGACTTCTGTACTCACTCCCTCATCCCCCAGTGCACTGAAACTCCCACTCCTTATGTGTCCTACCAAATACCAAAGTGTCCTCTTTCCCAGCAATTTCATCCCTGCCTCTATACACCTGATATTCTCCCTCTCCTCCCACCAACTCTGTCCCCATGCCAAGACCACATATTTTCTTTCTCCTGACAATGAATTTAACCTACAAACCAAACGAAAAGGAACATTTCCTGCCCCAGGAAATGAATCTGTGATACTTGCTGCCAGGTCTCTTGCTCTCAGCAATGGTGAGAGCTGAGCAGGATCCCAAAACAGATGGGCTATTTCTATAAGTGCAGGGAGCAGCGAGAACCATCCTGCTCCCCTCAGCATAGCTGAATTTCTCCTGTGGGTTCTTGTGCTGCTGCTTGGAAGTCTCCAAGAACAAAGTGGACTCAGTATCTTCACCCCATCCCACCAGTGCCGCACCATAGGTTGGCCCCATCCTCCTACCTGTGCCTGCTGCAGGGGCACCATAATCCTCTCCACGCACATCTCCAGGTCTCGGATATAGTCCCGCTCTGTCTGGAGCAGTTCCTCAATAACCTTGGACCTCTTCTCCAGCATCCTTTGCTCTGGACTCTCAGTGGCAGCCGAGGATGTCTCCAGGGATGGTGTCTGGGAGGACAGGAGAGTCATCTCTGCAAGACAGACAAGCATGATCAGCATCCTCCAGCAAGGATGCAAGGACAGGTGACAAGTAGCACCTGAACTGTGCTACACGCGACCTATAAGACTGCTAAACACGACCATTAGAGAGCAAGACTGTCCATCCAAGGACCTCTCCAGAGAAGCCATCCCTAGCACTCCCAGCCCCAGGGCAGCAGGGAGCCCCGCTCTGCTCCCACAGCCTGCCCTCGCAGCACCACTAACGCTGCAATGCCCCGTCATCGGGGCAGCAGGCACCAAGCAACACAAACCTGCTCCAGACCGTGCCCCCTGATGCTGGCCGGGTCCAGACCCCTCTCCCCAACTCTGCCACCTCAGGAAACTCCGTGGGGCTGGGCAAACAGGAGAGTAGCCCCGCTCCCCTCCTTGCCCGCTTCCCAGCCAAGTAATGGCGGCCGCCCCCTCCCCTCAGGCTGGGAACAGGGTCTTCATTCTCCAGCCC